TGAACACACTCGAAAACGGGCCGGGGATCGACAACTCCGACTGGGTGACGCTACTGACACCTTTTTTTTACAAGGAGTCATGTTTGCATAGACCACAATACCTGCAGTCATAATGCAAAAAAAAACACAACTCTGATAATGATATGCACTGGCCTTGAAGTTGATTGGTCCACACCCGAGACAGCTTTCCTTAGAGCCTAGTCTCACATGGTGTTGGACCAGATGACGCCAAAATGTGTCAGTTTTGTTGCCAGACTGAAGGGTAAAAATCCAATTATCATATTTTTTACTGGCAAATGAGGTTCCAATGGTGGGTGACGCTACTCAACGGGGAACCGGGAGCCAGTGACTTACGGCTACCCTCAACCGACCGGGCTCGATGTCCAAGCAAGCCAGCAACAAACAGCACTGTCGACGATGTAATAGACACGAGAGTGTAACGCGCGTCTTCTTCAGCTTCAGCTTCCTCTGCTTCTTTTGCAGTGAGCAATATGATCATTGGGAGGCGAATTTCAAAGTGGAACAGTGCGAGGGAAGAAACAGAGAGAGAGAAGTGTGGTTGAGCTGCAGTGTGCCCAGTGGGTGGGTGATTAAGTTTGAGTGAGTGGGAGGGTAGGTGAGTGAGTGAATACATGGGTGCGTGAGTGAATAGATGGGCGAGTGAGTGAATAGGTGAGAGAGTAAATGGGTGAGGAAGTGGTTGAGTGAGCCGGTAGGAGAGTGTTTTGCTGTGGTTTGAAATGGGGTGGCTGAACACAGTGTGGTGATGGTTGATCAAAGTGTAGTGGTGGTAGTTGAACACAGCGTGGATGACACAACACAGACCGGTTAGCCGTATCCTCAGCACGAGTGGAGGAGTCAGTGAGTGAAGTTCACGTGAATGGTAATCACAATCGGAGCGATGGAAGAGTGATCAGGAGGCCACTGAGTGCCCATGAGCGAGTGAGTGGATTGTAAATGTTGTTGTGGGTTTACTCTCCAACACACCGGTGTTGCTGTGCTAGTCACGAATTGGCACGTTCTGTTTTACGTAACAAATCTGACTAATTTGCTGTGTCGGGTGGCGGCCGGTTTAACGACACATTTATATTTTGATTTGAATCTTTCGTGACTGCAGGAATTCATATTCTAGGTTCTTTCGGTAAAGACACGTAGAATGGAAATAATAAAATAATAATAATAACATTTTCTTGCTGTGGATTTCACACATGATGATGATTGCTTGCGTTGCAGTCGAAACGTCGTGAGACTTTTATTGTTTTATATTAATATTATTTTATTATTTTATTATCTCCCTTCAACGTGACTTTATCGAAAGAACCAAGAATATGACGCATTTATACTTACGCGATCTAACCCAGAAAAACACCTCAATCATTGATAATGTCGGTCGCGAAAAGCCCTACTCCGTGTTCAACTGAGCTAACGGGTGACTGGAGTGACGCAGGGAGCGATGGATCATCAGTCACCGTGACTGCTGCTTTTGTGTTGAATCCCCCCCCCCTCTCCTCTCCAACCGGTGGTGCAGCGGTGTGATGAGTCAGAAGCAGCCGCCGCCGGCTGCTCCACCCCACGACCCTAGGATCTACAGGGTCTACCCATCTGCCTGGCCGCGGTCGGCGGTCTCTCAAACTGAGTTGGATATCCGCAGAAGCGCGGCGTTTCCTGAAGAAGAGCCCCCCACCCCCAGCTCCCCCGCCCCCCCCAGCCCCCCGATTCAAAATTAATTCCTGAATTTCGCGTGCTGCTGCTGCTGCTGGAGGCGCGACGGTATCACCCGCTATCATTAAAAATAATTGCCAATTTTTGTCCCGCTGCACCACAACACAATTTGGCTTCACCGAGATTGCCTCGCCTTTTCATCGCAGATATGCTGTTGTTGATTGCTGTTGACAAAGTGTCGCACGCCCTGGCAGTAATAAGCCCTGCCCGGCCATTGGCGACCGCGAACGAATACCAATAGCCGAACCCGGCCCCCCCCCGCCTACTCGGCAAAACGCGAGGCATTTCCAAAAGAGGGGTCACTCGCTCGCTCGCTCTCGGCCGCCTCTTACCCCACCAAAGGGACACACTTCGGAGATGGGAGCGGGATTGGGGAGAGGGAACGAGAGACACACGCGGGCATATCTCTGGCGTGTTGCGATAATGAATATTTATGGCTCCGCTTAGAAATAACAAAAGTGATGGGGAAAAATAGATGGAGCTGATAGATGGAGATGAATGGATATTTGATGTGGATATAGAGGGTAGGAGGCATTGCGGTACGGATGGATGGGCGAGTGGCAGGGCTTGCGGATGGAGGAACGGATGGATGGGAAGATGGATGGATTAGTTAATTGATTAATTATATATTTCATTGAGAGCACGACTGACCCACGGGGCTGGTAGGTAGGCCGGATGTGATCATCAATGGGCGTGCGGCTTGGGGCGAGGATGGGATGTTAAGTGGATTGCTGGATTGAAGACTAATGGATGCATATAGATGGGGCTGGTATAATGGATGGAGAGTGGATTGCGAGCGGACGGAAGGTTTAGCCAATGGGAGCACGCGACTCGTGCGTGTCTCGTGTGGGTCGCATTGCGCGTTGTTGCGGCAACGTGAGGGAGCGGTGGTGCAGCGGTTAGCGCGCTGGGCTACGAACTCAGCCAGCCAAGGTTCGATTCCCCCTCTCACGGCCAACACCAGTGACGATTATCTGAACCGGCCCTGGGCGTCCCCTAGGTCGGCTCAGCCTCAAATGAGTGTACCTGGTGCGGTGTGTAAACATCGCCACTGGAGAGACAAAGGCTGGCCGGGTGTGGTTTTGGCCACCCTCGTGTGCAGTTCCGGCCTTGAAAGGTGCTCGCTACAGTCTGTGAAGGCTAAAGGGGGGATCTTTGTTTGTTGCGGCACCATGTCCGACGTTTTGCCGCACGTGTCGGGAGCTTCTTCAGGAACTGAAATTTTAGCTCCTTCATTCAATATTCCGGTTCCTAACGAATCCCATGCTTCTGGAAATGAAAATAAAAACTGCAGCTTTTCAATAATATTCAGCTGTGCGTCAGCGCTATGAGCACACACGTGTTAGAGTGTGTCATGCGGGTGTAGGTGCGTGTGTAGGTCGTCTCAGCCTCAAATGGGTGCCTGGTGCGGTGTGTCAACATCGTCACTGGAGGGACAAAGGCGGTTGGGCTTGGTCCTGGCCGCCCACCCCCTCGCGTACTGTGATGGCCTTCAAGGTGTCAGTTTTGTTGCCAGATAGAAGGGTAAAGAACCAATTATTATATTTGACTTCTTTCGCACCGTACATCGCCAACAAATTAAACACAAAAAGCAGTACTACAGAAATTCGTTCATAGGTGCTACTCGCTAACAGCACTTGCCCCAACAGTGTGCTGATGATATAAGGGGTGTCTTTGTATTTGTTTCGTCGTGTGTATGAGGGTGGCAAATTCATAGTCGGTAAACCGGTAGCCGTTTTCAGGATCAATTACCAATTACTAAAATTCAGGATCGCCAATCGGGTCATTGGCCTACTCTTCCACTGCGTGCAACACACTTAACCCCCCACCGGGCGTGAACCTGTGTTGAACCCATGCGGGCTGAAGAGAGAATCTGAAAAACTCGCCCCAATGTTTCCACTGCCGCTGCGGGGAGCTGGAATTGAATTGTGAGATCTCAAATCCAGAGCGCTAAACCACGACCCACCGAGTGTGGAAGGCTCCCATACGATTACCGATGATGATGCAATTTTTGTTGTAACATTTTTTTTAATCATTGCGATTCTTTACCCAGGAAAGCTTCGACGAGTCTCAAGATATATCTTTAAGGAGGGTCCTGCTCAGTTTTCGCGATGTAGCTGCTCATGCTGCTGTTGCTGCTGTGTGTGATCCCAATTGAGTCATTTGCAGCGGGATATTTCAGTATTGGGACGTTTTTGGTCAACGCCGGTTACATTAGTGTGTGGTTTATATCTGGGAGGAAACCGAGAACCTGGAAGAAACCCAGGCACAACTCGGGAGAGGGTGGAAAACATACAAACTCCGCACGTAAATGCGCCCGAGACATGGATCAAAGCTAGGCTCTTGATTCTGCGAGGTGCGTGTGTTTCCACGGAACCGTCGTATATCGCCCTTGTTTTAACACCCACAGTTTGCTTGTAACCGAGTGGACAGATCGACTAAGATGATAGAGGCACCCTGCATGGGCTGGCTGGACAGCGTAATTCAAATCACCAATTTGGTCTCTTCTCAGGCTTTAAACAAAAACTGGACAGAAATTCACGCCAACATTTCAACAATAATTGCCCAATGATCGCCTTCCTCGTCTCCTTTTGTTGATGCACATCTGTTGTTTTGTAATAATCTGGAAGCCAAACACGGCCAACATATGTAATCGTTTTCCATCCAACCGCCAGTACGTAACGCACGTCCCTCATGATCTTTAGTTTTTAGATTAAAGAAATGAAAAAAACATTCAGAATGGATTGTTCCAGGAGAGTAGCTTCCTCAAACATGATCCGTCGTGACCCGTTCAGAGAATGGGTTTGGAGGATTAAACAGTTTTTTTTTCTGGGGGCCGACAGAGACAATGATGCCCCCAGTATTGCCTTGTAAGGAATTTTGGGGTAAATGCAGTTCACGAGCTGCTATAAAGGCCAGAACGGCGCAAAAGAGCCAGCAACCCCGCCTGGGCGAGAGAAACATAGCGAGAGAGAGAGATTTGTACGTGTATAATAGAGTGATCTAGAGAGAGCGACAGATAGTTCAGGAGAGAGTGCAGTCCAAAGGAAGAGGACATAGAGAGAGAAAGAAGTCCGGGAGCGACCAATAGAGAGTTTATTAAAGCGCTCACTACAGAAGTCAGTGTATATTTCAGGAGAGAACGCGGTAGAGCGTTTGGGAAAGAGCTCAGACAATAATCCAGGGGACAGTTGAGTGCAGAGTTCAGTCGACAGTCCAGGGAGAGATTTCAGTTGAGAATTCAGGAAAGAGCTCAGAATCTGTAGCTCGCTATCGCCATGGCGCGTCCATATACCCATCGACTGTTCCTGTGGACGCTCGCTCTGGCTCTGACCGGCATCGTGTCTGTGTTCTTCCACAAGCCGGGCCAGCTGTCCGGCTGGCCCTGGCAGGCGATGGATGTCAATGACGCAACGGTGCAACCCCCGCCTCGCACCAACACCCTAATCCTGTCCAGCTGGCGGTCTGGCTCGTCCTTCCTGGGCCAGCTCTTCAACCAGCACCCTGGCGTCTTCTATCTGATGGAGCCCATGAAGCACATTTGGACCAAGTTGTCCAAATTTCGTGAGTCGGCGCTGCGAGGCGCCACGCGCGACCTGCTGCGCTCGCTGTCCGCCTGTGACGAGACGGCCTTCCAGTTCTACATCGACAACCCCCGCCGACTCAACTCGCTCTTCATGTTCCACACCAGCGCGGCGCTCTGCACTGTCCCCGCGTGTCCGGCCGCGGCGGCCGCGGTGGCCAACAACAGCGCGGGCATCCCGTGCTGGCGATCGTGCGGGAGCGCCCCCTTCGAGGGGATCGGCCGCGCGTGCGAGCAGAGGCGGCACATGGTGATCAAGAGCGTGCGCTTCTTCGACATCAGCTCTCTCCGTCCCCTCGTCGCGGACCCGGCGGTGCGTCTCAAGATCATCCACCTCGTCAGGGACCCGCGCGCGGTCCTCTCGTCGCGACGCAAGCTCAATGGTTACTCCCTGGCGGGTGACGACCAAATGGTGCTGGGCCGCGCCAAAGTCGACCAGCAGTTGGACGCCGTCGAGGTGATGAAGATGATCTGCCGCGGCATGGACGACATCGGCGCCGGCGTCGCGGAGGAGGACGCGGCGAGCAGCGTGGGCGGTCGACGAGGAGGGGAGGGAAGGGAGCGGCGTGCTGAGAGGACGCCTACATGGCAGTGCGCTACGAGGACCTGGTGAGCAGGCCCGAGGAGACGACGCGAGACATGTTCCGCTTCGCTGACATTGAGCTGCCCGCTGCCGTGCTGTCCTGGGTGCGGGACATGACCCAGGGTCAGAGGGAGGGGCCCGGAGGGTTCGTGGTGGAGAGTTTGCGCTCGCTCGCCGTGGCGCGCAAGTGGCGGTGGAGCATGAGCTTCGAGGACGCGCGCGCCGCGCAGAGCGCGTGCCGCGGCGCCATGCAGAGGTTCCGATACCGCGAGTTCGCCAGCGAGAGGGAACTCCGCAACGCGAGCATCGATGCCTTCTACTGAGCGACGCGGGAGAGACGGGGACGCAGTGGCGGGGCGATGGGGGCCCACGGGGTTCGTCGTCGTCGTCGTCGTTCTGAGCGTAAAGAACGTCGTCATCACGTGACATTTTTTTTATTAGCGTCATCAGAAGAACAAAAATGTCCGCGTAAGAAATTGTTGTCTCGACAACGTCGTTGTCATCGTTAACACGAATATCATTAGAAGTAATAATGATCATCGAAATAATTTGATTATCATTCTTGTTGTCATCGTCATTGAACATTGCCTGTTCATTGCTGAATAATGGAACTACCGTGAGATGATTGTAATGATGGTGATTGATGGCCTATGGTAATGTTTGTGATCTTAATCATCATTATCATCATCATTTTCGTCTTCATCATCAACATGCATGTTCTCTCCACCGCTGGACAACGGCCTTCCCACGCCGTCGCCATCTCTCTCTCTTACTCGCAACCCATCTCACTCCGCGCGCACGAGCCGATCTCACGGCCCCATCTCCGCGGCGGTCATCGTCGTAGGCACACAACGCCCCCCTCCCTCCTTGGGCTGCCATTCCGTTATTCTCGCCCGCCATCAGGTGTCGTCCTGTCAAGCGGCGACGCGTCCTGCCCAAGCCAAACTTAATTTTCTCAACAGTCTGGACGTGGTCATTGACCTGCCGCGTTTCCTCTCATGCACGAGCTCCTCCTTTCTCCGTGTGTCTCTCGTTGTAATTCTAACAATTGCATCTCTCCACGCCTTCTCGACTCTCTACTCTCGTTACTTGGACAGGGCGCAGGGCGACGTTTTTAAGAAGCCCGGTATTTGATTTGAACCACAATTTGTTTCATTATAATAACGAAGCAGACACGACGCATCCTTCCCATGTTTGTCGATCCACGTAAAACATATATATGCTATGCACAAAGACAAAGATCCCCCGTGTAGCCTTAACAGACTGTTGGAGCAAGTGCTGTTAGCGAGCACCTATGAAGGACTTGCACGGCACACAAGGGGGTGGGTGGCCAGCACCACGCCAGGACCGCCTTTGTCGTTCTAGTGGCGATGTTTACTACACACTAGGTACTCATTTGAGGCTGAGTCGACCTAGGGGAGGACCAGGACCGGTTCACTTGTGTTGACCGTGAGCGGGAATCGAACCCTGGTCGGCAGGTTCGTAGCGCAGCATGCTAACCGCTACACTACCGCTCCCCACTTTAATATATATCATATGTAATATGTACATTCCATCAGCCACACGGCTCTCTGTGAGTGCATCTAATCGGCTGCTATTGAATTTTGATTTGAAGCTTTCGTGACTGCAGGATTCCATACTCTTTGTCTCTTTCGGTAAAGTCACGTAGGTAGAAAAATAAAATAAATCACGACGTTTCGGGCGCAACACAAGCGCCCGTCTGATGACGGACCTGATGATGGACACTTGTGTTGCGCCCGAAACGTCGCAATTCGTTTTATTTTATACCTACGTGACTTTATCGAAAGAGCCAAAGAGTACGGCTGCTATTGGTTTAACACAAGCAAACTCCGGACTGGTTTTGACATGCAGTGTCTCATCAGCAGTCAGGACTGCTTGACAATGCTGGTGAACTGGCAGATATTTGTTGTGAAGCATCTTAGTGAGAACAAAGATAAACAAACCCTCGAATAGCCTCAACAGACTTTTCAGAACAAGTGCTCATAATCAACGTTTTTGAGTTTAGATCGCGTTATTTATAAATGTGTCGTAACCCTCCACCACCCGACACGGACAATCAGTAAAAAAGTGTCACGTTGACAAAAGACAAATAGTTCACTGCTTTAGCCCACCGGTGTGTTGAAGCGTGAAACCACAACATTTACAATTTTTTTTTGAGTACGACGTTTCGCTGGTAATTGCATCCAGCATCATCGGGCAATTCGCCAGAATGGTGAGGCTCTGCTCTGTCTCCCGTTCTTATATAGAGCAGCAGCAGGGTGACGTCATCATTAACTCATCAAGTGCTGTTGACGCTGTGAGTGTCAGCACGGGACACGAATGGGTGGGTGGCCAGCACCACGCCCGGCCGCCTTTGTATACCGAATGGCGACGCTTACACACACCGCACCTTAGGGGAGTACTAGAACGGGTTTAGAGACTCGTCACTGGCATTGAACTCTGTAGCACAGCGCACTCACCACTGTACTGCAGCTGCCCTAGATTCACGTGTGCTGTGTACACAAGCAAACTCGGGATCGGTGTTTGACATTGAATGCATCATCAGCGTTTGATTGTTCTCTGTCCAATAAAATAAAGTTTTAAAAACATTGACTTTTTTATATTTATAAGTTAATATTTGTATAGATTGTGGTCTCTGTGTCCTGTCCTGGTTAACGAGTCACGGTTAACGCGACTGTAAGTACATCCCTGCTGTGTTATCCACTGCTGGATGAGAGCCCATTACGAAACCACCATGCCGGTACGATCGGGTTGGTAAAGTGGGGACCATAGAAGTCCAGTACAACAATACGGCCGGGGGGTGGAGGCGTACGGAGAGGGGGCATAGCAGCAGAAGGCTGCACCAGGTCACGCCTGGGTGTTCACCCATCTCCGAGTATTTTGCTTCATTGGGGACAGTGCCATTCACATTGCACCGCGTTCTTCTTTTGCCTGTTGGAGGAAACCCGTGCAAACCCCGGTGGGAGAAACATAACACCCCCACGGGGCAAGTCGCCCGAGTCAGGCGTCGAACCCAGGTGCTTCAGCTCTTGCAGTGATTCTAGATTTGAATCTTTGCAGTGAGTCGCGTCTGTTCACCCCCGAGGTCGAGCTCTGGGTTATCCTGCCGAACCTCAGCCCTAACGCCGGGAGAGACGGGGGAGACGCAGCGCACGCAAAATACATCGCTGCTGGGGTATCGTTGCATGCACGAGCATTGATATCAACTCCACGCGTCTCTCGCAACCGCGGGTGGGAGAGGAGTCAGGCCATGCAGAGAGAGAGAGAGGCGGGCTCCGTTCGGTGATGATGGGCAAAGCTTTCGCGAGAAGAAAACGTCCCGCAGTAAAGTGATTTGCCTTTTTTGTTGCAATAGCAAGGTACAGCTCTTATTTTGTTGGTGCTCAGCTCAGCGAAAGTGTTCGTGTGAATATACAGGGTCCATAAAAGAGGGGTTTTTTTGGGTGAGATCGCATAAATATATAAATGTGTCGTTAAAACCCGCCACCACCCGACACAGCCAACTAGTAAGGGTTGTCACGTGAACAGAACGTGGCCAATTCGTCACTAGTAACACCACCGGTGTGTTGGAGAGCCAAGCCACAACATTTGCAATCTGAGTACGACGTTTCGCCAATAATTACATCTAGCTTCATCAGGCGACAGCCAGATTTGTGGAGAAGTCAACCTGTTTCGTTCCTCATATAGAGGCGTAGATGTGGTGACCACACTTCTTCGCTCTTGCGTAAAGTGGGGATTACTGAGTCAACGTACATTATGCATGCGCATTATGCGAGCCCTTTCATCTTGTCCTTCCTTTCCATTGTGTGTATTAAACTAGCCGTATCAACCGTGATCCCTATTGAAGTATGGTGCTCTGTATAGACATGCATTTAAACAATGGATTATTTGATGATTCGCTTCCACGCAGCACTAAGTCGGTAGTAATCCGAACGGTTCAAATTGTTTGTATTTCTTTAAATTTCGATAGATTCTCTAATTAGTCTTGGCCAGTAGTAGCTAGTTTTGCACGGAACTTCAACATTAACAAAATAAATTGAGTGTCCTCGTTGGCACACGTATTCTGCTATTGCTGACAGTTGAATTTTGGAGTATTTAATATTTTTTGACATAAAGCTTTCGTGACTGCAGGAATTCATACTCTTTGGATTTTTCGGTAAAATCACGTAGATATAATTTTTTTTAATTACGACGTTTCGATCGCAACACAAGCAATCGTGTTGCGATCGAAACGTCGTGATTTAAAAAAAAAAATTCTATCTACGTGTATTTTATATTTATCTGATGTTATTTTAGTATCGTGCTGATCATTCGTCCTGTTTGCCCAACATAACATTTGCTTCGGTAAAACATATTTTGTACCAGATATTAATTTCCGTATGTTATGTACCGTGCCAAATCTGACTCGGGTGTTTTGTTTTTCCAAACATCTGGCTAGTTTATCAGTTACTCCCGCAATGTACGGTATTTTGATCGTTTTAATCACTTGGGCAGTTTCAATGCTCGTGTTATTTGATTTGGTTTTGACATTCAATGCAACTGTTGATTTGTGCTTTGATTTGGTTTTGGCAATCAATGCACTGTTGATTCGTGCTCGTATAATGCATATGCATAATCTACGTTGGCTCATTAATCCCCCCCCCCCACTTTGCGCAAGAGCGCAGAAGTGTGGTCAACACATCTACGCCTCTATATAAGGAACAAAAACAGGTGGACTTCTCCACAAATCTGGCTGTTGCCTGATGAAAGGGCTCAATGAAATATTTTTTGAAAAGTGTTCAAGTCACGCAAGATTCGATCGTGCATTTGTCCACGTGTAGAATTATGGCGCAGCGGTGATGCAGTTAGGGGCCGTCCATAAATGACGTCACGCACCTGGGGGGGGGGGTCAGACATTTGTGACGATGTGTGACGAGGGGGGGGGGGGGTTGAGAAATGTGACGTCAGATCAAAATGCGCAACTTTAAATAAATATAGACAACACGTTCTGCTTAATTAAATAGACGTTTTAATAAATGTTTTCTCCTACAACATCAGAGTGCAGCGCCACATTAAATACGCACTACAATGACAATAGTTGAAAGCGATTTGAAGCATGTTTTATTTTTTGGGGGAGGGGGGGCAGAGTTTTGTGACTTAATATTTGAGGGGGGGTCTGACTTTTTGTGACGCCGTGTGACGAGAGAGGAGGAGGGTCAAAAATCGTCCAAAATCGCGTGACCCTGTCCCCTGAGTTGAATTCCTGGCCACGGCACACATCAGCGGCGAGTGGCATCTGAACAAATCCCGGGGCACCCCCCCC